TAGAGCCCGGCGTTGCCCGGGGATGTAACAGTAAGAGATAGATCAAGTATCGACCATCATAAAGACTGAAAAATAAAATTGACAAAGATTGACGGACACGCATGTCTTAATTAGTTTTTTTTTTTTTTTACGAATTGGTCAAACCCAAATTCAAACAAAAACCTTGTTTACAATCGTTATGAGTCGATTGATTCGTGAATAGAATTTTATTATAAACAATTGTCTTGTAAATGGAATTTTTAAAGCATTCTGAATGTAAATAAAGAAAAAAGTGTGCAAGACAATAAGAAATACTACCTGCCGAAAAAAAAAGTGGATGTTTGTTTTATCAGCTGAAAAATGTAAGAAATCTGATCCCATATATAAAGGAACACACACACACACACACACACACACACACACACACACACATAAACAACCTGGGTTTTTTAACCTAAGTCACTCCACGGAATTGCTAAAACATAGAGCATAGTCTGATGAAAAAGACGCCAAAGTTTATGAAAACAAAATTTTATCGTCAAAATGCTCATTTTTTTATGAAGAGGATAGACTAAATTTTTTTTTAATTATTTTAAAAAAATTTTTCCATCTTTTTAGAATATTCTAAATTTTGATTTAAAAAATCTTGTTTCTCTTTGTCGCAACAAGGGGTAGTAAATAACATAGATAATTTTTAGCGCATTTTTTTGTATTTACACACATTAATTTGGAAAATCTTGCAAAAATAAAAATAATTGTCAATTGTTAATGAAACTTTAAGAAACTATTCACAGATGATCGAAATTATTATGAATATTTTTTTTTTTTTTTATTAAAGTCATGGCAGAAATATTTTTTTTATATTTATTAACACCCCCATAACTAATTTTATGAAAAACTCTAGAAATTCGAGACCATCGGTTTTAGTGATTACAATAGTTAAAAGCACAAGGCTTTGAAGAATGCAAATCATGTTTTTTTTTTGTTTTTCTTTTTTTGGCCAACGTACCTGAAAATCAGCTGTGAATTGTAACATACAAAACTCAATAAAACAAATATATTATTTACTTTCAAATGCTTTTATTTGTTTTAATTTGTTTTTATGAATATGGACAATATTTTCTGAAAGCAAAAAATTTTTTCAATGAAAATTGAAATTTTAATACAATTATTTCTTACTTCTTTAATTTTAAAAAGATTTTTAAAAAATGTTTAAATTGAATTTAAAAAAATATTTTAACATTAGTTAAAAGCAACATCAACCTTTCAAAATGTCCGTGTGAGATTGTCATTGTCTAGCGCTTTGAAAATTGTATAATTTGGACCAATCAGATTAGCCATGGTAATTAAGAAATGTAATTTTGTGTTTATAGTCGGACAGTAATTATCAAGTACGGAAGACCAACCAGAATACAATTTAGTTGCATTATTTGAGTTCAGCATTGTTCTCCGCTGTTAAGCCCTTTACTTTTCGAAACACGTATGGAGAAGTTAATTTGAGTTTTCAATTTCAACTGAGAAGGGTACCTACAAGTAACAGTATCATCTTATGAAATTTAACTACTGCTAAACTTTAATTTATATGATCTTATTTTTATATTAATCTCAGTTATGACATTTTTCCATAAATGAAATATCAAAATTAATAATAAAATGAATGGAAATACAAATAACACAGTAAAATATAATAAATGTACATAAAATTATAGTATTTTATGTACACTTCTGATAAAATTTCATAAGAAAGGTACCTAATTAATACCTTTTTCTTATGAAATTTATTCTCACTATTAACAGTCTTATTTTTTAATTTCTTTATAATTTCCATCGTAAACGTAAAAATGAAAGCTAAGTACGAAAAAAAAATAAATAAAAATAAAAAAAAAAAAATTAGAGCGCTGAAAGTTTTCCTTAAAAGTAACAAGGTAAATAATTTGTTCACTTAAATAATTTCACTTCCTTCCATCCGTAGAAAGAATTCTCCTCCCGTAAGTTATCTAAACGTCATGAATGTGCCTTTCGTCAATCGTCAAGCGACGCGAAAGGTTATGACCTGCTTTGTTTTATTTTCAAATTACATTTTTTTGGCGCAGAAGCTAAGTTAAGCTTGGTTCAAAATATTTTAAATAAACAGTATAATATCTGTTTTTATTAAAATCAGTTTTGAAAAAATGATAATTGACTTTTAAAAGAATATCAAAGTAAGATTTTAATCTTTTTTATCAAATCGAAAAAAATGATTGAAAATGATTATCTGCCCTTTTTTTTGACCAAAAAAAAACAATATTTTTAACGAAAATTTCAGACGTGCTAGGAACGATTAAAAAATGTAAAAAAATACCCCCAAAATACTTTGATCTTTCCTCTTTAATAATAATATGAACATTAGACGATAAAATTTTGTTTTCGTCAAGTTCGGCGTCTTTTTCATCATGCTATGCTCTTTTGTTTACATTTTCGTGGGTGAGTTCTCCTCTTTCATTCTCACGATGTGTCTTAATCGTGTTTTCAAATTGATTTTATTAAAAAACAACTGTATTTTTCCCATTTTCAGCCCCGTTAGAACCACCACAAGGTAATTTTATGTAGTCCTGTGAAGTTTTGTTGAAATCGGCTAAAAAATGTAGGAAATTCGATCCAACATATAAACGTTACAGACACACACACACACACACACACACACACACAACCTGCGTTTTATAATAAGTAAGATGTAATGGTTTGTTAAGTGAATTAGTCATTTTGTCTAATATTTTTTATTTCTTAAAGTGTCTTTTATTTACATACTATGTTTCATTTTGTTAAAATATATGGCTTCTTTCAAAATGCCATACAGCTTACAAACTGCTACATTGTATCCAAAAAATTTTCTGTCTAGTTGCCATAATTTCCGGTTAAATTTTGAATTCTCTCTCAACATTAAAATTTTTTTTATTAGCTAAATTATTGTCAACACTTTCTCCTGTTTTCCCTTCTTCTTTTCTTTTCTTTTACTTTAAAATTGTAATTTTTTATATATTACTTCTCTTCTTCTTGAAATAAATGAATACTTTATTCAAAATAATTATAAACTAAAATTTTATTTCATTTTTTGATTGGATGCTCTTCTGATATAAATGCCTAGGGCACGCTACTGCCATAATGTTTTAGTGGTTGTGCACTCTGGATTTCATCAGGTATTGATTGTTCTCATTAAACTTTGGGGAATTTGAAACTGAACCCTTTATTTAATTTATAAGGTGGTAGATTGTTCTTGTTCTGTTGTCTATATCCTCATCCAAGAAATTCAAACAGAATATAGGAAAATTATAAGCAAAAAACATGGATTATCCAGTATGAAAATATCTAAATATCTGTGTTACAAATGTGAACATAGAGAAAAGATACAAAATATTACCCCATTAATGTCCACTGATAAATTCAGTATTAATTATAAAGATTAAAATAAAAATGCAGTATTGCAGGTTTTATAAAAAAAATCTAGTATTACCATATTTTCTGGCTTACAAGACACTGCAGTTTGGAAGATTCATGTTAATATTAGAAAGAAATTTCAAAGAAAAAAAAATGTCATTCTCATACAACAATACATTCACCATGCACCCCTCACATACTTTTGCCACGTATTGTTTACATTAATCATTTGTCCGATTTTGTTTGTATGGCAATGACATACTAGTCAAGAGCAGAAAAGCTCCCACCGCTGCTAGTAAACAGAGCTTGTTTAAGCTTGTGGCTCGGCTCCAGTAAGGTTTATAGTCTTGGAACTACTTGTAACAGCTAAGTACTGAGGTTATGTCATATAAAAGGCTGAATTAGATAGCTAGCTAGCATTATAGTGTAATGACTCAACATACAAACCCACATCCCTATCAGTCAAGCCAATTAAGTGACTGTCCAAGCTTACTTGAGCCTGGGCATTGCTTTACATTCATCTTGGAAGATGCACACATATTTTTCAGGAAAAAAGTGCATCTTGTAAGCCAGAAAATACAGTAAAAATCACCATCCTATTTTTGGGATGCTTGGAATTAATATATTCAGAACATTGACTAAAGACAAGAAAGAAAACAAACTCTCACCTTTAAGTAAATGTTACAATGAGAAATGTTTAAGTTGGGTAAAGAAGTACATGAAAAATGATTTCTCAACAGGAATTGTTAGTAATCAATGTAGATGGTCCTGATAGCTGAGTAAAGAGTTGCATCCTTCATGGAAATAGTCAATCAACATGATTTAGAAGACAAGGTGAAATGAAGCAATGATTATTGAAGTCATTAAAATGATATGTCCCTTGAAATTTGATGATGAGGTTATGATAAATGTGGTGAATTATTGTAAATTATATGGACAAGATATTTTTTGAATAGTAGAGATCAAACTTAAGAAGCTTTAAGCTAACAAATTGATCCTATCATTCTACAAAGCTGACTTTTGCCTACTTTGGCAAAAAATGTTACACCAACCCCAAGTTAATGGAATGGCTTACAGTCTTGTCAGTTATTATTCCAATAGAAAACTTCTGGTCTATCATTAAAAGAGATGTATAAATGAATAAAAAACAATATTCAATCAAAGATTTTTTGGGGGAGGCAATAAAAAAAAACTGTTTCAAGTAATGATACTGTCAAAAGTAGAATCAATGATTAGAAGACTATCAAAGGTTATAGAATATCAAAGAGCAATAAAATAATTTATTCAGGAATATGAGATCTTTTGTTAATCAAATGTAGGTTTCTGTGATCTATATAATTTGGATTTATTTGTAAATCAATATTTATACTGCACTTAATTTGTTTACATACTAAAACCTGATAGCCACATAAATTGTTCTTCTCAATATCTTTAGTGAGGATAACTACAAAGTGAAACTTACATAATATATTGTTCATATAAATTAATCCTGAAAATGTTACCAATATTTTACCAATATCAATTGCTTAATGCCATTTTTATTGTGAAAACATTGTCTTACATATTAAAATCGGATAATGTGCATGTGAATTGTGCTTATGTTCTAGGGTGATCGAATGTGGTCCTTTGCTGTCGGATTGTTCCTTATTGAAATTTCCCCTGAAAGTTTACGTCTCACAGCAACTTATGGTTTAACATCAGATGTCATGCTCTTTTTGATGGGAGCAATTATTGGTGATTGGGTGGACAAAACAGAACGTTTGAAAGGTAAGTTATCTTATTTTTTTATTCCTTCATAATATTAATGTGTGTAAATGGATTGAATGGCAGGAGAGGAAGAGGGAGAAATACTAAAAAGACTAGCATTTCTAAAAGCTACAAAGGATAGGCCATTGTAAACAGCCATGAAGTGACATGACACATAAACAAAGAAGGATGACAAATAAATATTATTTTCAAGCTATTTAGTTTTTGCATTCATGAAGATTTTTATTACAACTTGTTTCATTTATTTTTCAATATACCACTCCAGTAAGTACCTGACACCTCCTGCTATTCTCCATCTTTATAAGAGCCAGATAAAGCAGAAAATGGAGTACTACTGCTAAATATGGGCAGGAGCTGCTAGGTCTTCACTTTCCAGTCTTGATAGTCCAAAAGCATCTTCACGTCTTTGCAGGTGATGATTTATTTTCTACCCTACAACCATAGATGAAATGTCACAAACCTCTCACTGCTCTATCATTATTTCCATGGAAAGTTTTCAGATGAACAACATTCCTTAGTTTCACCAGTTCTTCATGACTAAGACCCACCATACCATTCACATTGTAGTGAACCACCCTCATTCCATTTGTATTCCATTGGTGAGATCTAAGTTCCATTCAAGCCACTTCTTCTTGCTTTGTGGAACCAACTCCCAAGAGCATACTTCCCCAATCACTACAATCTTAACTTGTTTAAATCTAGGGTTAACCATAATCTTTCCCACATAAATTATTCCACTTGTTTTATAACCCTCTATTTCAAGTGGATCTTGGACCTTGTATAGGGTGAATATTATTGTAAAAAAAATAATTTTTTTTTTTTTTTTGTAAGGTGACAAGGCGAAGTTGACCTGATAGAAAATAACTGAAAAAGATTCTTGAAATACAATCAGTCTTGATAAATTTTCTGGATATAGAAAATTTGTTATAAAATTTTTAAAACTGTATATATCCAAATAACAACAACAGTGCTTTCTTGGTGATGGATGTCACAAGAATGAAATCTGATAATAATGGTTCTTGTTATTCACATTCCATCAGCATCTGTGAACAGAATGGTGCCAATATGTCATGTGAACAGCTACAGGTGTAAGACTACAGATTTTCAGAAAAGAACTGATCAAACACAGTCTGCTACTAATAGTGTTTGCAATGTCATAAAGTACAGCTGGCTTTTAACATCTGATTTGCTCTACCTTGTCATTTGTGTGTACACGCCATCAGCATAATGCTGACTGCTCACCAGATGGCTACATCGACCTCTCTCTCAAAACTGTGTATCTCTCACCTGGAGGACATGAGTATTTGACTACTCTGTAGGAAGTCCTTCTGACACCTATTCCATATTTCCTTTCACTGTAAAGAATACTGATGTTTAATGTTCATTGCACTGGCTTCACTCTGTTTGTCTTGCCTTGAAATCTTTTTTTGCTTTTGTAAATGTCTAACTTAATTTTTATATTCTTTATATCATTGACTTATTAATCTGTTTAATGTCTTTTTCTTGGAAGTAAATGTCCTTAGAGGTTTTCATAATTCTTTGAAATGTTAAGGTTATGTATTTGATTCATATGAGAACTGATTTCTTTAATGAATCTTTGTAATGATCAACAATTTAATTTCAGAAAGATCCTTTAGAATTTGGAAATATTTAAATATTCATTCTATCATTCCTTGAATATTTAAAAAAATGTCCCTTCAGGATGTAGGTGATCATGGCACTTCACAACTTTTTTATCTTTAATATCTGTAAATTGTGAATTATCATGACTATTCTTGCATAAGGCAATAGTTTCCTACAGTTTTGATATTATAGTTGTCCTTCTCCTAGGTTGGTTGCACTACCAAGGCTAGAAGGACTTGTCCATTGAGCTATTTAACACATAGATGGAGGAAAGAATAGATGGAGTCATGCCTTTACCAAAGACATTATATTAGTGAAGTGAATGCAACAGCCTTGAGCAGAATTTGAACTTGGCTTGCTAATTCCATTTTCCACACCAGTAACTATTATGTCATCTGTGCAGCCACTTATTGTAATGAACAATAAAAATAATACTTTTGTAATGAAAACAGGACAAGAGATTCTGTCTAGTAATCGTTTATTCAATTAAGAATACTACTACTCATCTGACTTGACAGCGGAAGTATACAGCTTTTATAGCTTGGATTATCTAAGAGGAGATAATCCATATTCACAACAACTTTGTTCATATCAATTGCATATAAGAACCCCACTTCCATTTACATTTTATTATGAAGTTAGGCTATATGGATTAACATTAGCCAACAAGATACATCAATTTAGTATGTAAAATAGAGGATATATTTTTGGAAAAAAGTGGGTATTATATGCTACTAAATACATTAGATAACTTATGTGGAAACTGCAGATTTTACAAGTTCACTTGCAAAAATACACTGTTTCTACTTTTAAGTTGAACAACAAATTTCAGTGCTTTATAATTTAGCTAAATCTGCAAGTTCCTGATATATATATAGTTTATTTACTAAGGACTTTATACTTAATGCTGCAATAATCACATGAGGTGTTTTGTTACACCAAATTTTTTAACATACTCATAATTCTTAGTTGACAACTTATTACTCTTCTGATTTAGTGAGGGTGTGGTGCAGTGTGGTGCAGTTGTAGTTCAGTTGTCATGGGAAACAGACACCAAGTGACTATCCATTTTCGGAAATCCGAGGTGACCAATACAGAGTTAAGTATGTGAACTTGAAAAATTATTCCAAATAATAATGAAGCTAGTGGATAAAAGTTTTAAAAATTATTTTGCTATTTGTTTTTATTGGATAATGATCAAAGAAAATTTGATGTCTTAATGTCTATTTGAAAAACTGGCTTTGGAGTGTTCAGTCCAAAAGAATTTAAAATAGTTTCTGAATTTTCCCATAAGTAACTGTCCATCTCTTTGGAGTAATAACAGAAAAAATACCATCTCTTTTTACCTTCATTAGTTTTTTCATAGTTTTTTTTTATTCATAAATGAAAATGCATAAGATTGGTAACTTAAGTAGTTTATCTGTACTTTTAAAAAACAATACCATATTTAGGCAATTCTGCAAACATATTTTCAATTGTAAAATGATGAGATCTTGCTGCCAATCTAGTACTATGCTTAAATTTGTGATGATGATGTACCAAAGAAAAAAGTTCATCAGAACAATTACTTTTTTCTGCAATTGCATTTGTTATATTTTAGAAATTTATCTAGATATGTTGTTGTTGCATGTAAGAAAGAATTCTGCTTTTTAAATAATTAAAAGTATAAAACTATTCAAAAAACATTAAACAAATGAAATAAAAATCAATGTATTTGCTATTTAGTCTCATTAATTACTAATGAGATTGTTATGTGGTATGTTTAAAATCTTGAACAAAGCATTTGAAAATGTTATTTGATGTTAAATTTCTTTCAGAAACTTACTTTTTTCTTCATTCTTTTTTGATAATTTAGGTATTCAATTATTTTGAATTATCTGAACATATTTTTCAACCATATTCCAAGGTGTCTGTTCTTCTTGCTTATGGAAATCTCTTCTCCCAGCTTCTTGCTTTCCAGAGGTTTCTTATTAAACCCATTGAAAGCATTGCAGATTAAATGTTATTTAATCTTTTTTTTAGTCAATTCACCCCAAACAAGGAAATAAAGCAAAGGGCTACTGGGAATGAAAGAAAATGAAAAAGATTTTAGAAGGAACCGAGAACAACAGATAAACATTTACTCATGTTCAAAAAACCAGGAAGGAGTGTGAACTGGACAATAGGCAAACCTAATGCTTTCAGTATATTTCCTAAAGCAACTATACAGTTGCATTATTATTATTATTATTATTATTATTATTATTATTATTATTATCCTCCTCCTCCTCATCATCATCATCATTATTGTTATTATTGTTATTATTATTATTATTATTATTATTATCCTCCTCCTCCTCCTCATCATCATCATTATTGTTATTATTGTTATTATTATTATTATTATTATTATTTTTTCTGTTGTATACTAATCCCCTTCTGGGTCTCAACCAGAGACTTAAGGTCAGAAATGGCATCATAACAAGGTGAACCATATGCCAGGCCTGGTAACCATGTGACTGGGATGGGTCTGGACATGTGGAGACTTAAATTACTACTAAATAGCAATTACTGAGAACATATTTACATAGCACCTATATATATAATATTAGGAAGCATCTTACAATTATTGACTTATTTTCATAAATGCAAATGTACAAAAATAACTAAATGCACAAAAATCACTTTATTCACCATAAATTAGATATTTTTAGATAATATTGCAAAAATAAAATTAACTGTTTCTGCAAGATCCTTCTCATTTAATAATGGGTGTGTTTTAATGGCAACTACAGTTTGATCACAAAAAAATTTTTAAACAATAGGAAACATTCTGTAGCTCAACCGGTTTTGGGTAAACTGCTACATCAGTTAGTTTTGGCAGCTTAACAAATTGAACTTTTCATACTCAAAAGACCTTTTACAATTTCCCATTTTTCATAAAATTGCAATTACTTGATCATTCGATTGCATCAACATATAAAATTTTTCATAAGCAGTAATGGTGGGTTATTACCAGTGGGGGGGGGGGATTAAAAATTTTAAGAACCAGTTCTCTCAACAAAAGATCTCAATAGCAACATGTTTCTTAATCAATTCCAGCAATGTACTTTTGCATTTTTCTATAGTCTGTACTTTACTATATAGATATAATTTAGGAATAAAGCAAATTTTTCTTGCACTTATTGAAAAATACCAAAATTAATCTGCATTACATTGCACATTATCATTTTGAAAGGAAAAATAATTAAAAGAAATGCTTTAAAATTCATAATCTTTCATTTTAAAAATTAGCCACTTGATTGTCATCATAGGCTTCAGCTTTTTTGCCTCACTCTGTTGTCATCAGAACTGTGATTTTTTTTCTAAGCCATGTTTTAACAAAAGCAGTGACATCC